TTTATTTATTTGTACTGGGGATCAGAAACCAGAGCCTCACACACAGTAAGCATGCACTCCACCACTGAGCTATATCCCCAGCAATCCTTTATCCCCTGTACCTCTGCCCCTTAGGAGAGATTGACTGTCCCAAAGTTATACAACTAATAACTTTCAAAGCCATGGTCAGAATTCCAGATCCTGTACTCTTAACTTTCTGCCTCTCCTGAGGCAGTCGTTCATTCTTAACTTTGGGGTCAGATGCCTCAAAGCCCTGTGTTCTCTCCCTCGGAAAGCACAGCTGAGGGAATTTTGCCTACTTCAAACACCTCAGGCCCCACCTTCTATCAGCCTCTATCAACCTCAGACTCAGAATAGGAATCTGTCTCATACACACTAAAGGGAACTGCAGACCCCGGGAGAGCGCGGAGCTGCGTGGTGATGGCGATGCCGGGTCACTGAGAATCCGGAACCGGGAGCTCCGGGGACCACAGCGCCCCGAGGACGCAGCGGCGCGGCTGAGCCTCCGGAGTCCGGGAGCCGCGGGAGATGCGCACAGATCGCCCAGGCGAGGCTCAAAATCTTGTGTCTCCTCATCTTGCGATCACAAGACAGTTGATTTGGAGCTGCGGGGAGTCTCAGAACTCTGGCCCCAGTGGCACAAGGGAGGTTCTGGTGTTGAGCCCTGGGGAGCCGGGAACCTCAACCCCGAGGCCGCCGCGGGAGCTGTCCGGTGCTGACCACGGACGCGGCCAGGCCCCAGGGGCTCAGACCCCAGCCTGCAGCACCCAGTAAAGCGGGGAGAGCTTCTGCCAGCACTGACGCAGAGCGCTGGGAGAGCAGGGAGCAGCTGGCTGCAAGGTGGACATGGATCTGCAGAGACTCGACTCCTACCAGGGCGGAGCTGGCCCTGACTTCCACGAGCACATCCTGCACAAGGTAAAACTCTGCTCCCGGCCCCCAGAGAGAGGACACCGTCGCCTGAGTTCTCTCCGCTCCCCTGACTTTGCTTTGGGACGTAAAAAGAAACTAGAGATGTCTGTGATTCTGTTTGATCCTATTCAATGCTCAAAAGAGATGCATGCGCGCTGGGGGAGGGGCCGCCTCCCGAGGGCCAGATTCTCAGATACTGTATTCTTTCAGTTAATTCTTCCCCATGCCCCCCCTCACTTCTCTCTCTCTTCCTTCCACCCTTCTTCCATTTGAACTCCCATGGACCTGGCTCTCTCTGACCCTTGTAGGAGGATGCTTTTCTTCTCCCACCCATGTCTGTCTGTCAAACCCCAGCTCCGTCAAATCTGGTAGCAGTGATCCACTTAGCTGAAATTAGACTTAGCAGTGATCTGTAAGCCAGGCATGGAGTTGCATGCCTGTAATTCCAGCACGGCCAACCTGGACTACAATGGGAGTTCCAGGTCAGTCTCAGATATATAGAGAGACCTTGTCTGAGAGAGAGAGAGAGAGAAAGGAAGGAAGGAAGGAAGGAAGGGGAGAAAAGCAGGCAGGGAGGGAGGAAGGGAGGGGAGAAATTGAAGTTGAAGAAAAATTATTGTATTGAAACTAAACTCCAAAGAGCTAGTCTAGACCATGAATCACTCACACCGCCTTCTAAAAGTGCTTGCTTATTTCCAAAGCTGTAACACATCTGTTGATTCCCTCATTCAAATTTCTCATGCAACTCAGTTTTCAACCATGCAAGTCTTCTCAAACAATTGTTGGGGGGGGGTGATTAGCAGCTTTTCTTTGGTAATACTTTTTAATCCAAAATTTATCACTTGAAACCACAGCATTGCACTGATTGTAAGACATTATTATTGTTCCCTGTCCCTTGCCTGAGGTGGCCACAGTCTTCTGCTCCAGCATTTATGTTCCCTACTTTGCTAGTTTGATGTTGGTTTGTCTTAGTCCCCTTCAAGAAGGTATTAGTACATGTTCTTATACTTGAAATTGTAAATTTATATGTCACCCTAAAAGATCTATAGATGAAAGCTCTGAAATAACCTGATTTGCCTTTCTCTGATACATACTTTATATTTGAGAAATTAAAGGCCAGACAGGCAAAGGGACTTATCCAAGAAAACAAGCCGGTAAGTGGCAGAGCTGGCACTAAAAGCTGGGGGTTGTAAGATCAAGTCTGTCTCCTTTCGGCCGTACCACCACAGAACCTCAGCAGAGTGTGACCCAGGGACACACAACATCAGTTACCTGAGCGATTAGGAGGCAGAATCTCAGGCCCTACTCCAGACCTGCTAAAGCTGATTCTTCATTTTAACAGTCTCTAGGAAGTAAATAGGGGTGTTAACATTTAGATGTGCACTCTGTGATGTGCTGGCTATTTGTGATGCAAATGAAAGAAAATTAGCTATTAAACAGAGCAAATCTGCAAGTTTGAAAAGCCGGTGTGCCTTCTCCCTCCAAGTCTCTGAACCTATAGGATTCAAGGAAAGAAAAGAATTTGTAACAATTATCCCAGTCTGGGAGTTTTAGAACCGTCAGCTTGAAGTAAACTAAGATTGAATCTGTGAATCTAGCCAGCCCAGTGCAAAGCACATGGAGACAAAGGAACACAACGATGGATCAATTACAAAACCATCCCCCTAGCTAAATATAGGGGTCTCTAATTTTAAACCATGATGTAAAGATACAAATATTCGTCTTGAAAGTTTGAAGATTGGGAAGTCAGATTTTTCAAACCATTGTTCAAATGTGGTTTTTCCCACTTCAGTCACCTACACATGAAATATAAGATGATGCCCACAAAAAGTTTCACTTCCTTTGGGTTATTGATCACCACAGAAAGAGAGATCTTATTCTAACAGGTGCCATTCTATCTGAAAATAAGCGCCTACTTACTACAGTAAATGCTTGGTCTTTTCAGTGCGGTTGTGAGCATCTTGTCACGGAGACCTAGTCTTGAACCTTCTGCAATGCCCAACTCAGTGACTCATGTATATAAGGAGATCTTCTGTTGTATGATGCTGACAATCCCTCTTAGAATCATTCTATTATTTTGTGTGGTTTTCTATGGGATCCACTTGCAAAAAAATTGCAAAAGAGGAGAACATCGACACAGTTGGATTACTTTTCAATTTGCTTTATAACAGAGTCTGAGGTTTGCTGCTGATTCCTTAGAACATACTGACTTTGAGAGACAGGATGGGATGTTTTGAGATAGGGCCTCTCATTGAAACTGGAGTTCACCAGTTGGATAGACTGGCTGGTCAGTGTGCCCTTGGGATCCTCCAGTCTCTACCTCCCAGCACTGAGATTACAGGCATACATTTCCATGACTGGCTTTTAATATGGGTGCTGGGGATCTGAACTCAGATCCTCATGCTACACAGCAAGCACTCTACCCACTGAGCCATCTCCCTAGACCCGTTTTGTTTTTGAAACAGGGTCTCATGTAGCCAGGCTGGCCCTATCCTCTCTATGTAACAGAGGCTGAACCTGAACTCCCCATCCTCTTGCTTCCCCTTCCCAAATGCTGGAATTTCAGGCATGTACCATCAGTTTGAGCTATAAGGTTGAGCTGCTAGAGTATTTTTAAAATAAACTTTTTGTAGGAAAATAGCAAACAAAAAATCCTGAACCACAGGTGTGCTCCTGGATAGATTATCACAGAGGAAACATACCTGTGTAGCAATTCCAAGAGAATGAATGGAACCTTGCCAGCTCCTCAGATGGCCATCCATCCCACTCCCACAGCCCTCCCTCTCCACCTCCCCAGGGGCCAACCCATAAAGGAAGAAGTATCCTCCAACCTAATGATTAGATTGCATGTAGGCTCCTAGAAGCTTGCCAGACAGGAAACATTGTGGCGTGATGGGAAGACACCACAGGGGATCCCTCAGTCCTTCATGTGACTTTCAGCAACATCTATAAGCCTTGGTTTTCTTTTCTTTTTTTTTTCCTTTTTTTCTTGTTTTTTATTAATGTTTAGTTAGCATACAAAGAAATGGGTTTCTTTGGGACAGTTTCATACATATACAACATTTCTCCTGTTCTTGTATCTGGCTTCCAGCCCTTCCCTGGAGGCTCACTTTTCTAAACTATGAAATATTGCCTGGCTTACTGTATTTGAAATGTGGATATCAGATGCTAGGCTGCTAAGCACATGTGTAAGTGGTGGAATATTGGGAGCATTCGATAGATGGTGGTTGTTATTAGGGCATACATCTTGGACTTCACAGCAGCTTTGCTATGTTTCACATCAGGTCTCACCTAAAATGATGCTTTGTGAGAAAGCAGCAGTTTCACACACAGAAACCTCAGCAACACACACGTGTTTTGAGACACAATTCCGTGGGAATAGCTCACACAAGCCACCTATGCCGAAAGTGTGATTTCTGTGCCAATATCCAATCCCGACTTCCTAATGTGAAGGTCTTTTTATTTTCAGGGAGGCTGGGCTTAAGGTTCAGCTCTGGAGCAGGAATAGCATTTGAAATAGTCCTGAGAGTTGCCAAGGAGCCCAAGTAACTGCTAGGAGACTTCTAGAGTGTGAGCCACATGCCAGGAACTCCTAGGAGATAGTTCGTTCATCCATCCCAGGCCTGGAATTTCTAAATAGACTTGCTGTTGTTCTCAGAAATCTGAATATTTGATGCAATTAAATAATTTAAAGCATGTGAACAACCTTGCTAGCTCTTTGCTCAGAGAACTCTCAGTCCTGTCCTGTCGCCACGTCAGTGTCCAGAGCCATTCAGGGCATTGATGGCAGGTAGGGGCTCAGAAACAGCTCAAGGGTTGGGTCTTGGCTGTTCCAGGCTTGACTCAGTTCTGGACACAGAAAGGAGGGAGCTTTTGCCTCAGATGTCAACAAGTAGGGACACAGGGACTTCAGTTCACTTCACATGCTTACTTATGCTGATGTTTTTCCAAGGAGGGGCAAGCAATTACCAGACCAAAGCCAGCCTCCTCTGCACAACTCAGAAAGATAAGGGGCAGAAAGCCATGGGCTGCTGCCCATTCGTTTGCCCTGGGCTTGGTCTTTGTTGAACAAAATTATCAGGGAAATGAGAGTGAAAGGTCTCCGTGTGTGAGTCTGCTATGGTGCCTCCAGCAAAGCGAGGGAAGCAGTGACTCTGGCCACTCCCCCGTCTCTCTTGCCCTTACCCTTCACTTCCATCTTCCACTGCTCACTTTGTGATGATTACATCCCATAATAACTCATTTGCTCTATCTATTCACTCAACCAATGTGTATTGAGCATTCCAAGTGTAAGGAGTGATGCTGGGTCTTCTAGAGAACACACACACAGACACGCACGCGTGCACACACACACACACACACACACAAATAGTTCCCTCCTTCAACAAGCTTGTGGCCTCTAAAACACGCACGCAAAGCTGGAGAGATGACTCAGTCACTGCTTGCCATACCAGCATGAGGGCCTGAGTTTGGTTCCCAGCACCCACTTAAAAACTGGGTGCATTAGTGAATGCCTGCAATCCCAGGGCTGGGGAGACAGAGACAGGAAGATCTCCAGAACTTGTTGGTCAAAATCAGTGACATCCAGATTCAATGAGAGGCACTACGTCAAAAAATAAGGTTCAGCATGATAAAGGTAGACACTATCAACCTCTGGCCTTCACATACACATGCACACACACATACACAAACATGTATGCACATGTACAGATACAAAAAGACCAGCCGGCCTTCCTCCTTCACTAAACTGTTTTGTCACCCACTGGTCCTAGGGAAGCAACTGGATAAAGCAGAAGTGTTCTCCCCTGAACCACCACACCCCCCAAAGTTATCAGGGCAAAGACAAATAAGCCAGCCAAAAACCACTGACTGTTCTGTTTTCCTCTACCAATCTTCTTTTCCGTCAAAGGCATTTTTGTCAAACAATGTTAATGAAACATGATGTTTCCATCAAAAACCTCAGATCCGCAGGAAAATGCATGTCCCGTGGGCAAAGAGATCTTACT